TAAAATATAATGAATGCAAATAAACTACTTCTACTAATAATGATAATCATAATCAATTCAATAATATAAATACTATATTATAATATAGTTGTAATATAGTCGAGACAAAACATGCTTATGACATGCTCAAAAACTGATATTTCTAGTTCCCTCTGTCAGCAATGTATCAACAACTACACACACATTTCTATCAGTATTTCTCTGTGTTGTGGTTGACATGATGATGACTGTTAGGAGTTAAGGGGAGAGGCTGAGCATCACCATGAAATGTGCAAATTGACATAAAAATGAATAAGAGGGGAACAAATGCTCCATGTTTTTTTAGCCAGACAGTTTATCACTCTTCCTCCTGTACATTAGCAGATAAAAGGCATAACATACTTGAATGGTAAATAAAGAATGCTGGAAATAACTGCATCTCCATTAGCCTATATGCTCTGCAGAGACTGCCTTCTTCTAGTCGTGAATTGCAGCTGATGTTTTAATATGGCAATTGGCAATTTGACTTATACAACATTTGCAAGTTGTACATTTGACTCATACAATAACCCACCTTCGAGTGATGCTCTAGTTTCTTTATGTTTTAGTTTTTTCCCCTCTTGTTTGCGCCGGACTGAAACTGTCTTTTCACCGACATCTCTTCACCTGCACTAGTGGCCGTATCAAAGCCGTGATTGGTCAGATGTTGATTCATTGCAACGGTGTCGGGTTACAGACGTGCTCCCCTTGTCACCTCTCACTCTCGCGGGGGGGGGGGGGGGGGGGGGGAGGGGGCGGAGAACTGAGCGGAGAACTGCGCACAGCAGCTGAGGCCCTCTGGGCGGGGCCCGCTGCGCAAGGCGGGGCCCCATGCAGCCTGCGTGATTGGCCTGTAGGGAGGGGCGGCCCTGTGTGCACCCCTGTACTACAGCAAAAGTATTCTCCGTCGGGACTTCCTGCAACAACACCACGCCGTTATCAAAGATGTTCTATTGAGAAGACGATCACTACGTGACAAAAGTTTTCAAAACCGTGGCTACTGAAATCAATCTTACTAACTGCTGTCTGTGCAATTTACTCCGTGCGAGTTGGCAGACTTTATTTAGCTTCCTTTAACATCATTTTTCATGGTGGGGCTAAGCCATTTCTTGGTATGAGTGTAGCCTACCCCAGCCATACCCTGGCGCTGCCACTGGTGGCACGTATGGGGCGGGCCATTCTGCATATGCGTTAAATATTTTAACGCAATTAATTCAAAAAATTAATTACCGCCGTTAACGCGATCATTTTGACAGCACTAGATATAATTACTGTTATATCATTGCTTACTATTCGTGGTTATCAGACACTTAAACAACAGAGAAGGTTTTAAGAAATAGGACTATTGACAAATCACATATTATCCTGTCATTGTCTGTTCTGTAGGAAGGAGGAATATAACAGAGTGGGACTGCACTCAAAAACGGAAGTTTGTTCCAATACGAAGATTGTGACTATCTGAAAAGTGTCCTTAAAACGAGCCTCCTCGCAATTGTATGCACATTATTTATTCAGTCGTTTGCTGTTTAATCTGATGGGAAATATATCATTCAAAAGAGAGAGAAAAGCTTTTTAAACTAGACTCGATACAGGCGATGACGTCACGTTTGCGCGTCCCCGCGAACAGGGCTTCAGGGCCAATCCCAAACCACTCCCTCGACCCTCCCCCTCCATGACGGAGTGAACTCCGTCTGTAGGCACACTCACAGCTGAATGAAGTTCCCTCCATTAGGGGTTAAGGGTATAAATACAGCGGCAAGCTTTGGGACGGCCTCCCCTCTCTGCGCAGGAAACGGAAACGGACGTCATGGTGTCCAACTCACATCTCCATCTGTCGGCTGCATTGACCTGCGTTGCTATCTGTCGCCTGTTAGCGGGTGCAATGGCAAGATCCAACAGAAGGCGCAGAAGGTTGAGGCGCATTTTAGCGATGTGTCAGTGGCAGGTAAACATTTCAATATTGCTAATACAACAATTATCTTCACTTTATTTCTTATATAGTAGCCTATGAACTTTGTATGTGTAATACAAATAGATATTTAGATATATTGTGATATACATTCATTTATTCTTTCCTTATAAGCTATACGTGTATATCTGTATAGTGTCTGTAGAATTCCAACACAGAGAAATGTTGTCAGTAGTTTATAGAATAAAAAAGGAAAGGTTCATTTGACTTGGTCTCAGAATTGTTTACAGAGCTGTGTGTGTGTGTGTGTGTGTGTGTGTGTGTGTGTGTGTGTGTGTGTGTGTGTGTGTGTGTGTGTGTGTGTGTGTGTGTGTGTGTGTGTGTGTGTGTGTGTGTGTGTGTGTGTGTGTGTGTGTGTGTGTGTGTGTGTGTGTGTGTGTGTGTGTGTGTGTGTGTGGTGTGTGTGTGTGTGGTGTGTGTGGTGTGTGTGTGTGTGTGTGTGTGTGTGTGTGTGTGTGTGTGTGTGTGTGTGTGTGTGTGTGTGGTGTGTGTGTGTGTGTGTGTGTGTGTGTGTGTGTGTGTGTGTGTGTGTGTGGTGTGTGTGTGTGTGTGTGTGTGGTGTGTGTGTGTGTGTGTGTGTGGGTGTGTGTGTGTGTGTGTGTGTGTGTGTGTGTGTGTGTGTGTGTGTGTGTGTGTGTGTGTGTGTGTGTGTGTGTGTGGTTATAGTTATTGAACAATACTGTGTCCTGTGTTTGTCTTTTACAGGGGGGCAAAGGTCTTTACATGCAGCTCAATGCCACTGCCCCAATTCTCGCCGTGTATGCCAACCCTGAAGCCTGTCTAAAGAAGGACTTTAGAGTTAAGCGATCTAGTGTGGTGTATTTAGTGCAGATGCTTTCCTCCCCAAAGGACCACGGATGGGGACAAGACATCGAGGTGCTTGTTCTCCTCTACAGCTTGGCCCATGGACTATCACTCTCTGTGGTGGGTTCAGCATTCGGGATTCCCAAATCGATGGTCCACAGGATCATCAAACACGTCACCGGGAAGATAAAGGCCAACCTGAAGACCCTCATTTCCCTGCCAACCCCAGATGAGCTGCCAGAGATTGCAGATGGCTTCTGTCAGCTTGCAAAGAGTCCTGCATTTCACCGTGCTGCTGGTGCGATTGATGGATGCCATATTCGCATCAAACCTCCAGGAAACGAGTACCACAAGGAGTACATCGATTACAAGCTGTTTCCTTCCATCCAGATGCAGGCCATCTGTGACTCAACTGGGAGATTCCTGGATGTCTTCATCGGCTATCCAGGCTCCGTTCATGATGCCAGAGTACTGCGAAACAGCCCCATCTTCTGCCAGGCACTGTTTCCCCCAGCTGGTTGGTTCCTCCTTGGGGACGGTGGTTATCCCTGCCTGGAAAAACCAGTGGGATTATTCACACCCTACAAGGTCCCTCGCGGCCAGGTGCAGGCCAGATTCAACAGGCATCATGCCAGGGCTCGGTCTGTGGTGGAAAGAGCATTTGGAAGGATGAAGGCTCGCTGGAGGGCCACCCTTTTCAAAGCGCTGGAGGTCAGTCCAAGCTTTGCCCCTGACATCATTGCATGTTGTGCATTTCTGCACAATCTGTGCATAGACATGAACGATGTCCTTGAGGATGCTGAAGCCTTCCCCGCTGAAGATGGGGACCAGAGTCCTCCCCCTGCCGCAGCATGTGGACAGGAAAGTCCTGGACACCACCTAAGGAACAGGATTGCTGCACAACTCTCTGCTCCTGTCCAAATGGCACCACACCTGAGAGAGCACGATTACATCTAATGAACTTTGTTTTATTTTGGAAAAACGTGGTTGTCTGTTAACTTGTGTTTTTGAAATGATGTGCACACATACCTGATTTAATTTTGTTTGTTTTAGTGAGCTCCACTTCTCACTTTAGAGAAAAGAGGTGAAATAAAATAAACCTGTGCACCGTTGATTTCAAGCTTGGTTTTCCTGAATTGTCTTTCTGCATAATCCCAAATTGGAGACAAATGTCCTTACCTCTTGGATCATTCAATCACGAGCACAGAGCAAAGGTTCAGAAAATGAACACAGGTCTTCTAATACAATCACTTTTGTTTTTGAGTGAAACTCTGCAAATGGTTTGACATGAGCAATTAAGACCGTAAATGTCATGTATATTTTAATGCCTTATACCTATGAAGCGCACAGACATATCTTTATTTAAAATGCTGATATTCAGGGTTAATCTTCAGACTTTGGAAAAAACACTTTAGTTCCGTGCACAACATTACTTTGTGCAAAACTTTTCCTTCTACATTATGAAACCCACACAGAACAATGTAGCCATCTAACAATCAAGCAAACGCAATGTCACCTTCATCACCCGTCTACCTGTATTTACTATATCCCATACAATATTGAAGACATGAAGGACAGTACGTTCAATTAGGTTTATTGTCTTCCAAATAAATAATACAAGCGAACAAAAACAAGTCTTTTAAGTAACATCAATAATCAACATAGAAATGGCCAATGGTGGGGGGGAAAAAATAAATCACATTTTGTCGACCATTTTTTCGAACAGGGTTAGAAATGTATCTGAGTGCTGCATTATTTCTCTGTGGCGTTCGTCCTCTTTTTCTGCCTCGCGTTCTAGGCACTCCAGCACTCCCATAGCACCTTTTCTTTTTTGGGGGGGGGGGGCTGCTGGGTGGTTCCAGCCTCAGACAGTGATGAGGGTGGTGAGGGGTCTGGATCATCAGCCACATTTGGGGGGGGGAAGGAAGAGGAGCAGGAAGCAGCCTCCGGATCAAAGAGGATTGTGGGGTTTGCCAAGGCTGAGGCAACAAGGACAGGAGGACTAATTGAAGGCCTTGCACCTATGGCCTCATCCATGGCCATGAAGAAGGGCCATGTTGCAGGGGTTTCTTCCCCCTGATCAATCCCTGTTCCAGTCATTGGCCTTTTAAGTTCCTATTGCAAACAAATGCATGTTAGAAATCTTTGTTCAGCTTTTTCTAAAACAAACATGTTTTACAATAACAATACACCATTTACCTTGTATTTCTTTTTTAGGTTCTCCCATTTCTTGGAGGCCTGTTTGTGAGACACATGTTGCCCAAGGTCCAATTCCTTAATGATTGACCTGTTATCATAGAATATTTAAACAATATATATTGGTGTTAAGGCAATGACTCACAGTGCACATTCATTACTTTCATTGCACAAAATATGAATTGAGTGCATAACTCACTCCCATGCTTCTTTGGCAGCATTGCGTTTTTTGCAGAACAGGTCATCCTTTTCCATTCTTAAAGCAATAAGTGCCTTGGTTTTTACCACAGTCCCTGAAATTACAAATCACACTTAAGTTTAAACCGATTTCGTAAGTGAATGGATACATGAATTGACACATGTGTTGTTAGTTTGATTCCGATTTAGATTTGTACATCTTCAAAATAAAAATCGAATGTAATCTTGGCAAATCAAATTAACACGTGTAGATTTATAAATACATGTTCACAAAGGCATGTTTTAGTTAAGGCAACGTATTATTTATCGTTTAAAAAAATAACCACATGGAACTCACATTTGTATGACGTTGTTTCCTCCATGCCCGAAAAACGGTTGCACACCTGTGGAGTGAGATTATCAAGCCTGCATCCATGTAAACTCGCTGTCGGAGGCTTTTATAACCCACTACGCCTCCGCCCTGATTGCTTTGGACCAGCCCTCAATATGGCGGACCCTTCACGTGAACGCGCAAACGGAGGGGTAGGGTGTAGGGGTAGGGTGTAGGGGGCGGTTTGGGAATGGGCCTCAATCTACGGCAAGGCTTCAATCTACGGCACAACACCGGCCATCCCCAGAGCGCCTTTGCGCCCCTTACCATTGATTGAGGTGCCTTTTGAGAGAGTTGGTATGGACCTCATCGGGCCATTAGACCGGAGTGCACGGGGATATCGCTTTGTACTAGTCCTAGTGGATTATGCAACGCGATATCCCGAAGCAGTGCCGCTGCGTAATATCTCTGCAAAGAGCGTCGCGCAGGCACTGTTTCACATTATCTCCCGAGTCGGGATCCCGAAAGAGATCCTGACTGACCAGGGCACACAGTTTATGTCACGCACACTACGCGAGCTGTATGAACTACTGGGCGTCCATTCAATACGGACTAGTGTTTACCATCCGCAGACCGACGGCCTAGTGGAACGGTTTAACAAAACACTAAAGAACATGGTTCGTAAATTCGTTCACGAAGATAGTCGTAATTGGGATAAATGGCTAGATCCTCTGTTGTTTGCAGTGCGGGAGGTGCCCCAGTCCTCCACGGGATTTTCTCCCTTTGAGCTGTTATTTGGTAGGAAGCCCCGGGGTGTTTTGGACCTAGTTAAGGAAAACTGGGAGGAGGGTCCAAGCACCAGTAAAAACGAAATACAGTACGTTATGGACCTGCGAGCAAAACTCCACTCACTGGGGCAGATATCACGGGAGAATTTGCTCCAGGCTCAGGAACGTCAGCAGCGCCTGTACAACAGAGGGTCGAAACTGAGACAATTTTCACCGGGAGATAAAGTGCTTGTATTACTCCCATCCTCTAGCTCTAAACTACTCGCCAAGTGGCAAGGACCCTTCGTGGTCACACGACGAGTGGGGGACGTAGATTATGAGGTGGTGCGTTCTGACAGGGGGGCAGCAACACAGATTTACCACCTTAACCTCCTGAAAGTTTGGAGGGAGGTGGCGTCTGTTTTTCTGGCCACCACGGTGATTGAGAGAGATGAGTTGGGACCAGAGGTCATTAAAAGCAACAAATTAGCCAGAGAGCAGACGTTGCTTCGTTGCAAAGGCAGTTTGCCGACGTGTTCTCTCCGCTGCCAGGGCGCACCTCTCTGTGACGGCCCGTCTACACTACAGGCATCAAAAAATCTTGAAGCTGGGCGTGTCTGAGGCTTGGCGATTTTTTGCGAGCAACGCGACCAACAACCAATCACATGAATCTCCCGCCCCCGACATACAAAGCAATAGCAATGTTAAAACGAAGTAAACTGGATATAAAATCCCCAAACAGGCGAAAACCTACCAGTTTCACCCACTGTCTCTGCCACCTCCCTCCATGCCTCGCTCCTCCGGTTTGTATCCCGGTAGATGAACAGAGACTGATCATACAGCACCGGGTGATTCACTACCGCTATAATGAATTTTCCCTCCATTTTTTGGAATATGAGGAAATGACCTGCGTAGTCTCTCCCAGCAGCGGTTTGATTGGCTAGCGCTTGTACTGGCAGATTTGCATAAACGGGATTTGATTGGCTGACGCCAGCTTCGAGCAAGCATCGAGCCTCAAAAGTTGAACATTGTTCAACTTTTGACGCCGATAGATGCTCGCGATGCTTGCAACGCCTTGCCATGCTACCCACAATGCAGTTCGGCGAAGTTTGAAAATATCCTACGTCACCCCATTCAAATGAATGGGCGAAGCGTTGAAAGCATTTTTTGATGCCTGTAGTGTAGACGGGCCGTCATACACCACCGCATAGAAACGGCCCCGGGCGTGGCCATTCGTTCACGGCCCTATCGGCTCCCTGAACATAAGAGGAAAATTGTTCAGGCGGAGCTTCAGGCTATGCTAGAAATGGGAGTGATAAAAGAGTCCACCAGTGACTGGTGTTGCCCCGTCGTGCTGGTACGTAAGTCCGACGGGTCAATCCGGTTCTGTGTGGACTACCGCAGGGTGAACGAGGTGTCCAAATTCGATGCTTATCCAATGCCCCGGGTCGACGAACTCCTGGATCGGCTAGGCACCGCTCGCTTTTACACGATGCTGGATTTAACCAAGGGCTATTGGCAGTTGGAGTCTAAGGAAAAAACGGCCTTCTCCACTCCGTATGGTTTATACCAATTCATCACACTTCCTTTCGGGTTGTTCGGAGCTCCAGCCACCTTCCAGCGGCTCATGGACCGGGTGCTGCGTCCCCACTCTGCATATGCTGCTGCTTACTTGGATGATGTCATCATTCACAGTGAGACATGGGAGCAGCATATGCAGCAGGTGGGGGCAGTGCTCGAGTCCCTGAGGCAGGCGGGGCTCACGGCCAACCCGAAGAACTGTGCGGTTGGACGGAGGGAGGTACGGTATCTGGGGTACCACTTGGGCGGCGGACAGGTGCGGCCACAGGTAGAGAAAACAACCGCCATTTCCGCCTGTCTGGCGCCCAAGACGAAAAAAGAGGTCAGGAGGTTCATGGGGCTGGCCGGTTACTACAGGCGGTTCATCCCGTCCTTTTCGGAGCTGACCAGTCCCCTGACCGACCTGACCCGAAAGGGTGCTTCAGATCCGGTCCAGTGGACGGAGCGGTGTCAGCTGGCGTTTGAGAGGGTTAAAAAAGCCCTCTGTGGTAAGCCGCTTCTGTATTCTCCTGACTTCTCTCTCCCTTTTGTGTTGCAGACCGATGCCTCGAACAGTGGGGTGGTGGCCGTTTGTCCCAGCAAGTAGCAGTCCAAATAATTGCTCCCGTCCGGAGGCGGGGAGGCGGGGATGTCCTGCTGAGGGGTGATCAGTGAGACACCCAACACGCCAAGATTATTGGCCGCTGTTGCCATCTGTGTCCCGAGCCTGAACATCTTATAATAATAATAATATTTTAAATTGTTATAGCTTCTTTCAAGAGACCCAAGGACGCTTTACAATGGGAAACAAAACAACAACATAATAATAGTCACAGAGATACACAGGTTTAGAAAAATAACAGGTTGCTGGGTACTGCATTTAGCTGAGGCCAGAGTGAACAGATGGTGTTTGAGTTGTTTTTTTAAAGTGTCCAGAGAGTCGGCTTTCCTGATAACAGAGGGGAGAGCATTCCAGAGGGTGGGGGCTGCGACACTGAAGGCGCTGTTGCCAAAGGTTTTCAGCTTGGAGCGCTGGATGGAGAGCAGCCCGTTGTCGGAGGACCGCAGGACTTATCCAGATATTCCAGGACTTCACGGTCACGCGGCAGCGGGGGCAGAGGATTCCTCCCCTCTGCCAACCCGGCTGCCTGCGGAAGCAGATGGGCCGCCAGGCTCTCATCAAGGGGGGGCACACCGGGACACTCCGTGTCCGAGCGGCCTTGCACCCTTAGAATTCCCGCTCATGTGCCACTGGATCCGGGCCGTAGAAGCCCTTACGGAGGCGGCTCACCGGCCTCGGTGGCAGTGGTGGGGGGAGCGGCAAGCCTCCATCTCCGCCACCATAGGCATCACCGCCGGGAAGTCCTGCCGCACAGACCTGTGCTGTGGACCCTCCTGGAAACCGGCCACGGAAGCATCAGACAACGAGGTGTCGTCGTCGTTGTCTTCCTCCTCGACGAACAGGGCCGCCCGGCCCGCTGGCATGGCGAAGGGCACACCAACATCCTGCTCCTCCATCTCCACCACCTCGAGGTCCTCCGCCTCTTCCGTCGTGACATACTGCATCTGGAAGTGCTCAGTGAGAGCGGGTTCAGGCGGCAGGCGGCAGGCGTTGCAGGCCGGGGACTGGATCAGCTCACCGCCGCGTGGTCTTGCCCCAGGCACTCGAAGCAGCGGCGGTGGAGATCATCACCTGCAATCAAGCCCGGGCACGAAGGGCAGGGTCGTTGCTCTAAAAGTGGTGAGTCCATGATTCAAACTTTCTTGTCTTTTGTCTTAGCACTCAGTTGTTTCCTTGCTCGCTGAAGAGAAAAGGATGACAGTCAGGAGGCGAGGCCGCCTTCAGGTAGGCCCACCCCAGGAGGCCGGCTACGGTTATAGATGTCTCAGTTGATGAATGCTCACATAGTATGGTTGAGAGGTAGTACCCATAGAGTCCAGTAGAGGGCGGAGCCTGTGTGAGATATAACTTGTAGTTTCAGGCTCTGCACTTTCACTCCTCACCTCATACCTCAAAGACCGCACCTAAAGGGTAACTTGGAGAGGGTCCGAGTCCGACCCTTATCAATTAACTACAGGGGTCCCTCAGGGCTCTGTCCTTGGTCACCTCCTCTTCTCTCTGTGCACAAACTTGATCGGATCAGTCATTAGGAAAAGCGCTTTATAAATGTAATGTATTATTATTATTAGCCCGTATGGTTTTTCATACCACTGCTACGCCGACGACACCCAATTAATTCTGTCTTTTCCCCGTTCAGAGACCCAGGTCGTCGCACGCATCTCTGCTTGTCTTGCAGACATCTCTCAGTGGATGTCTGCTCACCACCTCAAGCTCAACTGCTTTTTCTTCCTGGAAAAGAGTGTCCCACTCTTGAATTAACAATCAACATCGGCCCCTCTGTTGTTTCCCCGACTCAGAATGCAAGGAATCTGTGTGTGACCCTAAATAACAACCTGTCCTTCACCGCAAACATCGCTGCTACAACCCGCTGCTGCAGATACACTCTTTACAACATCAGGAGGATACGTCCCCTCCTGACCCAGAAAGCGACACAACTTCTGGTCCAGGCTCTCGTCATCTCACGCCTAGACTACTGCAACTCCCTCCTGGCTGGTCTACCTGCATGTGCCATCCGACCTCTGCAGCTCATCCAGAATGCAGCGGCTCGTCTGGTCTTCAACCTTCCAAAATGTTCCCACACCACTCCGCTCCTCCGCTCACTTCACTTGCTTCCGGTAACTGCTAGAATCGACTTCAATACACTGGTACTTGCG